ATAACTTATATGTTATATCATCCTTATATGCTTATATGATATAAGCATAAGGTGTATGTTCATGGTTGAATATGTTGAAGTTCTCACACTTTTGACTCTTGATATCTTTAGTGATATTCATGGATCTTTAGATGGTTTGAAGGTACCAAGCTACTATTGGTTTTAGTTTTTTTTTCGTATATATGCTGCAACCAACACTGTTTTGAAAAAAATGATCATCAATACTTGGGGATGGGTGGCGCCTGAAGAGGTATAAACGTCTGCTCAACGGTCATTGTTCTATTCTCCAGACTTTGAATGATACGAAGTGCGAACTCCGAAATTCACAAGCGAGAGAGATATTGTGGAAGATAATACTGTATATGTCAAATTTTTTATATATGTATTTGACTATTTTGGTCATTTTTTACTATGATCAACAAAAGCGTTGAATGTTGCATTTCAGAAATTAATAATACATCTGATGCCTTTTGATGTTATAGATAGTTCTATTGAATAATTCTATCTCAATCACAAAAAAATAAATATGATTGAAATATGACAAGATTCTTCTTCTGATTCCAGCTAATCATGCTCCTTTGGTTTCAACCGCATAGGAATTGATGGGTATTTCTTATTTTTGCTATATTCCTTCTCATCCAATATCTTTATTAGATAGGTTGATATGTAAGTGGTTTGCTAATGTGTTACATTAACACCTATATCTATGTAAATAACTGTCACGAACTACTAATGGGCCTCCTTACCTTGCAACAGTCTCAAGCATGGACAATATTTTCAAGACCTGCTGAGGATCCACCACCAGGTCACGAAAGTATTAAACCGTAGATGTGCGGAGGCGCTGGTGAAGAAGTTGTCTCATATGAGGAGTATTTTAATTTACATCAGATTGAGCTCAGAATCTTCCATTTATCTCAGAGCCCAGGATCATTTTTCATTTTTGTGCACTCTTGCAATTATGTTTTCAAAGGCGAATCTCTGTTATATGAATGCCTTCAGTATCATGATCCATAGTAATTCTTCAGAGTATTGGTGCCAAGGACTTAGCCATTGGGTTTTATTAGTTACTATCACAATGAGAATTAGATAGTATAATATATAATCGAGCGTTACACTCAGCAGCGAGAATTATGTAATACAATTTAGATGAGAATTTTATATTACAGCGTGAAAGTGACCACTCACCCTACAATAAAAAGTATGTACTACATAACAGAGTGAAACACGGGACCAGACAATGAGAATTTGGTACCACAATCTACAATTAAGCACCAGAACTAAAGGTCTTTGATTGAGTAGCAATTTTTTATGAAATGCACAAAGCTATTTCGCTAGCAACATTGTCATGCCGATCCCATCCATCACCTCGATCGAACCTTCGTGGATCAAAACGCTGTCAAATATGACAAAATTCTGAAACGCGGAAATGGATAGGCACCGCTTCTGCTGCTAGATCTGACTTACTCGCTGCAGGTCCTACGAGAGACGACTAGGCGACTCGAGCATCGAGCTTTCATCTGACGGTTTGCTTTGATGTATTTTACGAGCCGAGCCTAGCCGACATCTCCCTACAAACAACCAATTTCATGGGGAGCACCGCAACACGTTGACCTCACTTAGCGTCAGCAAACATAAAGAATTCTGCGGGCGTCTCCGTACGTCTAATTAGCCCAATTGCCCAATGTCACCTCGGACGATTTGAAAACACGAAGCTGCGGGAAAAGGATGTATGCTTCAGGAAACTCCTCCTCAAATCAAACGATCGTCATGAATCTGATGCGAGACGGAGATTCCGCCCATCAATGTGGGCGTGGGAATTCATGTGCCAGACGCAGTCATGTCACCGCTTGAATCGTGCTGAGAGGGTGGGGGTGACAGTGATTATGACTCTCACTTACGTTGATTAAGCTCTACACGTCTACGTAGTTACATGCGCACGATGAATACTGTATCAGTCGAGCCCGAGACTTGCTGCCATTACGAAGTACGAAGGACCCAAATTCACACGCTATTGTACGTGTACACGTACGTGATGACCGAGTACCGAGTACAGAGTACCGTACTGACGAGTATGGAATGCATGTACCGCGTAGAAGCACTTGCAGTCTGGTCTGGAAATATCCATCCGTCCGACCTTTACTGACGAGGTGACTGCGAGGCGAAGTACGAGCATGTGCTGCAGTGGTAGATTGCAGAGGGGCGAGAGTACCGCTCTAGGAGCCTAGAGTCTGGATCTTCGGCACGAGAGGGAGGGAGGGAGGGAGGGAGGAAGGGAGGATTCAAGAGGGATCGACTGCAAATCATTTGCCAGCCGTTTGGAAGTGAGGAAGTGCAAGGAAGTGGGATTCATGTTCGCATCACATGGCATCAAATCTTGCAACGACATTGCGTAGCAGAAAAGGTGAGCTGATGCCGTAAGGAAGGGAGGGAGGGAGAGAGGAGGAGGGAGGAATATGTCTGAGAGAGCAGATGGGGATCTGGAAGACTGGAGCCCCGAACGTGAAAGGCTTCAGAGCCTAAACTGAGGAATCTTGCGAAAGAGATCTGAGCTTTGGGCTTCTGGACAGGGCCAATCGGATCTGCTGCAGTTGAATCATGGATGTTGTATGAATCTGGGCTCTTGGCAGATCTGGTCTACTGGGTTCCATATGGTGGCAAGCATTTGTCAGATTTATTACGCGCAAAGACATTCTCCACTGAAAGTCCCTGCACTTACTTACTACTCGTGACTTGGATTCGTCCAAGTATTCTAGCTTGCTATAACACGGAGTTCGTCTCATGCCATTCTAGTTATGGGTACTGTAAACCAGTTAAACCCTGGTAATACTTTGCTTTTGGTCGAAGAATCCTTTGCGTCCAAAAGCTACTTGTGAATGCAAGAGCTTTATTATATCAGTAAAAGAATTCAAAGATATTTTGAACTACAATCACATGAACATAGAATAAAAACTGTCAAAGATAACAGTTTTGAAATCTTCCAATGCAACTTTACGCTTGTACAGCATCTGCTTTTTTGAATAATGTCTAGAACTAACACATATTTGTATCTATATATACATGTTTTCATCTCTCGGAAAATGCAGATAATAATGTTTAAAAACTGGATTTCTTCAAATTTTTTAACTAATTATTAGAAATTTCTATTTAGTATAGCAAGTGACTATAATGAAGTGACATTAACATTCATATTTATTTTGAAAAAAACATTAGAATATGAAAAATCAAATATCAAAATCACTTGTTATGGCAAAAATTTAGTGATCATAAGTGATTCAAGTTTCAAAATCTACATATGATATGAGTATTCAATCAAAGTCAAATAAAATAATTTGTTGGTCTGTAGTATAACACCAAGAGAATACATAATCAAACTTCTTCAAACCACATAGATTAGACGTTGAAATCTCAAATTAATATTAATCTCGATTTAAAAAATATGTGAATAAATCTAGATTATGAAGTAAAGTTTGAAATAAATACAAAATTTGACATTGATATCTATCAATATGAATAAATTTATGACTGATTCAATACTTAATAAATAAAATAATAAATATCTATGTATTACAATTAAAAATAGAGTAAGAAAAAGAGTTGAAAATAAAAAATTCAATATTATGTATTATACATTTATTCATAATAAAATAATAAGAATATAATATATTTACAATTATAAATATCAAATTATTACTTTAAATTATAAATAAATGATAAAATATAAACCAATTTATTAAAAAATCATTTTTATCTTGTGCTTACAATACAATTTATTTGTCAACTTATTGAATGAAAAATTAGATGATCAATTTACTTGATTTTGACAACAAAGTTTACAATTATAAATTTTACCATATGAAAATAAATATTTTAACATATTCATGTTTGAAATTATTTGATTGTTAAATATATTTATAAAGAAAATCTTGTTATAAAAAAGTTTTTATGACATATTATAGTTATATAACAGAAAAAAATTTATAGATGTGGATTTTTTAATATATAGTAGGTATCTTTAAGATAAAAAAAATATTTAATCCAACAGAATAAGTAGATATATAGTTCACCATGCAAGATTAAGTCCATTCAACACACAATTTTTTTTGTTAAAAAATTTTCTAAATTACGTTAATGAGATCAATGATCAACTCTTTTATATAGAAGAGAATTTTGATTTAAATAACTGTATTTAATATAATTTTAAAAATGAAAATTAAATTTTAATCAAATTCACTATTTAATTGAATAAATTTATTCATTGAGTTATGATTGATGTTCTTGTCATTTTGATATGACATTGCATGAGTAGTTCTTTAATAAACTTTTTGTAGAGAAAAATGAATGAATGAAGGATTTAATTTCAAAAAAATTTCGGAAACGAATCAATTAAGGTAATCAACGCTTTTATAATGACAAGGTTAATAGTTCTGGTTTGAGCTGCAAGGTAGAATTTTCATTATTATAACTATACTAATTTAGGATCCCAATTTTTTTCGTGATTGCGATTCCCTTTACTGAAGTTTAAAAAATCGTAGGGCTTGGATTGTTGTTGGAACCAAAGATTGCTACCTAAAAATCTTTCTCATTATCTCATGTGAGTAACAAGTGTATAATGTATATATGAGGAACTTACAGTAAAAACAAATTTATACTGGTAACAAGATGAAATAGTTATTATGAAAACTAGGGGATCAGTACGTTTGTAAATGACGAAAATTAAGGTCAAGTTGGTTTATTTTTGACGGTTAATACAGTTAAATGATGCAGATACTAAGGACTTTCTAAAACGAACTATGAGAATTCTAATATTCAATTTACAGTATTCAGATGTCCAACGACTTGATGATTGCAAAAGCTATATTTCAATATTTCGGTTTCTTGAGGTTAATATTTTGCCAATGAATGTTCTGATTTACTGTCTTCATAGCAAACGTATCTTTGAAAGTAAAGAACTTTAAGAGACGAAACGTATTAACTTCAATGGGACTCCAACCGCTTAGTACACTTAGAAACAAATAGATGATGGGAATGAAAGAATTGCTGTATTGCGCTGCACTGGATCCCGAGATTGGTGGAAGTAGTATTTTTTCGTGATTTTGCTTTGGAGCTGGGATATGTCTCTAATCCTTAGTTGGTTTCCAAGTACACCCTATGCATCATATAAACATGGCTGGAGTTGCGATGAAGCGACTGTCTGGTTTTCATTCCCAGAAGGCGATGATGTTTCCCCTCATGGAGAGAAAGTCCTCTACATGATGACTTAATTACTCAGATGCTGGCGTACAGGTCCAAACTCGTTGGATATCAAAATGTTCGTGCAAATTAACTCTATTTGCATCGTGCAAATCCTTGCTGATGATGCGATAAGGCGAGAATGGACGGTCCAACCTTGTTGTATTATTGATAGCTAGGGAGAATCACCTTGAGCAACAGACCTCTGCAGAGCTTATGATCTCGTCGATGCAGTCTGCAGCTAGTTTTTGCTGGCAATGACCTTCAACACAGACAATTATCTGCTGGAAAGGGCTTCGCAAGCAAGAACTGGGCTGCTTATTCAGTGCAACTTCCTCACCCGTTGCTTCCTCACTTGCTTCCTGACCTCATTGCCACAAGATGTCCAGGAGACTTTCGAGATAGATTCCGTCAATCAGATCTTCGATCCTTTCTTTCAAAGTACGACATCAAAGCTTGCTGCTTGCTGCCAGCGCAGCTTTCCGTCTTTTTTCGTACTCCCTGGAAAATGTTCTCACTGCTTCGGTCGAGTAATATCTCGTCGATTTTATCCAGTTCCCACCATCCACAGGAAGAGTGGCGCCATTGATGTACTTTCCTGCATTAGAAGATTATGATATCACACAGTCAGTTCGTTGCTTCCATGCTCCAAAGCTTACAACCCATTTGATTTGTACCTTATGCATCCCCTGGCCAGGCTATGGAACAACACACAAACTTTTCTCCGTTCAATTTATCTGATGAGAACCTGCTGAGAGTGGCAACTAATGGAGGAAACGAACCTCCTTCCGAGCAGAAAAACAGTGCAGTCTGTGCAATGTCCGACTTGTCTCCCAAAAAAATGTCCCGAGTAACGGTCCCATCCATGTTAACAACGAGTTTTTCTACTCCTGGAGTATCTTTGATTGGACCCGGAGCAATTCCGTTCACTCGTATGCCAAAATCTGTACCCCACTCGAGGGCTAACGACCGAGTCATGCTGTCGATAGCGGCCTGCAGGGTACGCAAAATCCAATCAGAACGACGGGTATCTGATTGGTCGGAACAGCTGTGCTCTCGTAAGAGGAAAATGCAACTTGTGAACGAGATACATCTATTGTCGCACTCACGAGGAGAGCTGACCTTGGCTGCAGATACGTGAAGTTGATACCACTGTGCCGAGTAGTGCAAGGTGGCACTGATGTTGATGATAACTCCACCCTCCTGGGGTTGCTTGCCTTGACCTCCTTTCTTCAAGTAGTGCAAAGCCGCATACGACATGGTGTAGGTTCCAAGAGCGTCAATCTCCATCACTGGACGGGAAACTCGTCCTTGTCAGTTTTATGTAAACATGCTCTACTTGATGGCAAAACCTCTGGCACACAAACGAAACAGCATTTCCAGCTAGACAGTACACTCGTTTGAACTTTTACTCTGAGAAACAGGCCATAGTGCAGAGAGCTGAGCAAAGTCAAGTTTATCTGACGGATGGTGAGCTTGGGGCTAGTGATCTGCTAACCATTCAAGTCTCAACTGACCAGTTTCGATGGTGTCTTACCGGTTTTGAAAGCGTTCGGAGAGAGATCTTCTGCAGCAGATAGAAAATTTCCTGCAGCTCCATTCACAAGAATATCTAACCTTCCAAACTCATCCACCGTCTTCTGCACAGCGTTCATGCAGTCCTCCTTCTTTCTCACATCTCCCGCAACACCAATTGCCTGAAGTATCCAGATACAGAACCTGGCTCAGAAGCAGAATCAGCTGCCAAGGGCAAAACACGACAAAAGCTAGTACCACCAATTTCAGTATCCAGTGCAGTGCAATATAGCGATTCTCTGGACTCTCAGAAAGAAAGCGCGTCATCTAGAGGGTTTGGTCCTGTCCATCCTTCCATGCATTCCTACATGAACAAACTTCGTTGGAGAAGAAAAAACTTCTAAGTCTCTGTCCCGTGCATGTGAACGCTTCTATGAGCCAGAATCAAGGGCGGCCTGTGCCGTGCATCACTGTGTATACCAAGCACGCCAACAGAATCCCCGATTTTACAAGAGAAAGGAAGCGTCACGTTCTTCTACGGTCTCTCGGGCAATCAATTAATCAATCGATCTTGAACCAAATTCCAAAGGAGTACTCCTGACATGTAACGAGTCGTTCTGATGAGGCGAGGGAGCTTGATATGAACGCTATGGCAATCCGGTTTGCGTCGACCTCGTCTGTCCACCGTTCACACGAAGCAGGACACGTTGCACTCACAAGTGGATGCGAATTGCCTCGACTCATCGATCAGTTTAGCCATCTCACAGTTCGGGAGGAAAGGAAGCATTGGACTGAACCCAAGCAGAATGCAAAACCGAGAGCACAGGGCAGGTACCTGAATGCCTTCGGTTCCCAAGGACTTCGCAGCTTCGTCAACCACCTGCTTACGCCGGCCCATGAGAACCACCTTCGCTCCATGTCTACCGAAGTAAGTGGCGATACACAGCCCTATGCCCGATCCTCCACCCGTGAGCAATGCTACTTTTCCCTCCAAAATATCGGGCAGAAATACAGACTTCGGCTCCATGACTTCTTACGAGCTATCCAAAATTCTCTGCAATCGACAAATCGACCAAAACGAGAGGAAAAGAAAAGAGAGAGTTCAGAGTTGGTCCCATTGGGAGAGAAGCACACGAGGCACAATTTCATACACGCGAATACAACGAAGTGCAAAACTCTGACATCCCGGACCGACCGAACGATACACCAGTACCAACAACTCGTGAATTGTTGAATTTTTCCATCACATGGTTTCGGACAACTCTCAAGAAGGTGTTACAAATCAAACGAAGTGAGGAATGCCGAATTGAGAGAATGAGATGTTCGGTGCAAGCCAAAGGCACATCGGAGGCCACAGACGCCACCACTCACTCATTCACTCACCCGAGGGGCAAACGAGAACGTCGAATCCTTCGATTCCGCGAGAGCAAGAGAAATAGCGCAACTGCGGAAGTCCGGCAGGTCAGGCCGTCATGGCAGCAATCCGAATATCATGACAGACGACAGCGGGCTCAGAGCTCGAGCATCGAGCAGTCCGCCTCGACGCAATTCCTTCGAAGAATTCGCGAGGCGACGAGCTTCGGAGCTTCCGTGGCAGAAATCATCGCCCGAGATCTGTTGCGTCTTCGCCAGCCACCCGCGCCATCGAGGCTCACGCACTAGACGCCAAAACGCTGACCGAAAGGCGACGTCACGTCACGGCACGGCACGGAAGGAGACGGAGCTTTGCACGGAATCTGCCCTTCGCCGTCATCGTCGACGAGCGGAGAGAGAGAGTAGAGTGGACGTAAGCTGCTCGGAGCCAATTGCGAACGATCCGTCCGTCCATCGACACCGGGAGCAGTTTTCGCGTTCCTGTCCTCGTGAGTCGTGACGTCGTAAATTCCGCAAATTAAGACGAAGACTCTTTTCTCGAAACCCTTGCGAAGAATTAACCCGGCGTTGAAAGAATGCGGACTATATCAACCATGTCAACAATGGCAACCAGTAGGAAGGAGGGAGCAGGCGAACCGAGTTAAGGAAGGGAGCTTGAATTACCGTCGATTCCACCAGCGAGTGGAGCGAGCCAAGCCACGTGGGGCCCCAAGTCACCGTGACCGCGACCGCGGCCTCCGCTTCTCACCTCGTGAGGCTTTCAGTCCGCCGACGTTAGACGGACGAGATCAGAACGCGGCTACGGCTGCCGGAGCTGCGACTAGCGGGAGAATCGTGCCTGGAGCATATTCCTCCGCGGTACCGGTACCGACCAGGTTCGCCCGCTCTGGGCCGGAGCGGGGAGAGGTGGCGCAAGAGGGAGAGAGCGAGAGAGCGAGAGAGCGAGAATTCCTGTCACTGCCTTGTGGCCGAGGGCGAGGGCCAGAAGGCAGAGAGAGGGTGCTTTTCAAGAGGGAGGGAGCAGGAGGGTTGAGGAGCAGGTTTTGATCGTGGCGGAGGGATCGGTGCGAGGAGGCGAGAGCAGGTGGATCACCGAAATGGCGCTCGTTGCCGGTTCTCTGCATGAGTGGCTCACCAATTCCTCTTACGGTAAGAGGAATCTGCATTCTCGGGAGCTGTCTAGAAACTTGTCACGGGTTTGGTTGAATTGGGTTGAGTTCGGTGGGGGTAGGGTTGGGTTGGGTGGGGCAGGGTTGGGGTGGGTTTTGGTGGTCGAAGTGAGTTGCTGGTTGGTTCACACAGTGAACTTTGCAGATTGCGAGAATTTGCAAAATGTTCTGAGTAGTCCACATCACGCAGGATGCATTCTGCTGGGCTACACATGAATTCTCAGTGTTGTCAATTATGTTGGTGATTTCGGATTTCTCACACGAGAATTTATAGCCCTCCCAGAAGAAGTTGTCTTTGCAGTTTGCAATTCCTGCTAGGTCACAATTCTGTGTTTTGCTTGACTCGCGGTCATGGCGTGGCTCGCTGCTGATTGTATCTTTGTAACGTCGAGTTCAGATATAGTTAGTCGCATAAAATTGTCTGGGGCAGTGATCTCAGATGTTCCGAAGGTGTTTGTTATTAAATCAACCGCAGGATGTATTTGTCGTAGAGTTGAAAGTACGGGCATTTATAACCTCATATTACTGAAGACAATTATCAGGCTGATGGCCAAATAGAGGGAGGAGTATGTACTGAGAGTACGAAAACTACGCTTTTTTTTGAAAGTTTTATTCCTTTTGCAATTCTGGATTTGTCCTTCTGTTTTTATAGTGACTTACAATCTTAGAATGCTATGGAAGGACAGTTCAGTTATTGGAGTAGTTAGCCATGATTTCTGGATGTGCTGAGTATTTTTACATTCGAGGCTGCGTTCTGTTGGGTCGATCCTCCAGTGTACTTGCCTCGATTGCAGAAGAATTTTACGACTCTGACCGTGACTCTGAGTAAGGCATATCTGACTGATGTCTCGTTTTCTCTCAGTTTGGGGCAAGGATCAAACTGCGGCAGTTGTGAATCGAAAGAAGGCCCGTGCTCATCGAAAAACTGGCAGCGAGAGAGGTTTGTTGAATTCTGCTGCCAATTTGTGCTGTGGGTCAGTCTGTCCTCTTTACCTGGAAACGGAATGACCTTGTTTGTTTCAATTGAGGGAGTTTGTCTTATTCCTCCACAGCCGCACACACGCTTACATCGGTGGGCAGCTGTTTGTGATCTGAACTGCTGTGCTTTTCTGTCACTGCGTTCAGCTGTAAATGTGCAGCATGTGATTAAAGTCCCACAAGTTGTCATGAACGCAATGGGGTATCGGATTCAGATTACAGTATTGGAACGTTGGGCTATTGCAATGCAGTATCTGAGTCCGTGAGTTGCAGTGGTTTGTGGAAAAGTCAAAACGTTTGTGCACTAGAAAATGCAGTGATGACTTCGTTCGGATATTCGTCAATGCGACTGAACAGCTTCTGTCAAGTATTCGTTTTGTCGTTCCTTCACTTGTTCCAAGTAGAAGGTCCATAAACCAGGAGCTTGCTTTGGGCTCTTGTTTGGAAGCTCTGAAGGTTATGGAAATACGCTAGGTACTGGAAACGTGATCCTAAAGTATCAATGGCTGGGAGTGAAGGGAGATTTGGAAGCTAATTCTGCTTTATATTCCTCAGATGCGCATACTGCAACCGTAGAGCGAGAAAATCACGAGGCTTCGATCAAGGTTAACTTTCCTTCCACCTTTGCCTCATCTTATCACCTGCTGCATAATTAATTTTCGAGGTTTCGTGTGTCTACCTTTTTCCATATATCTATAGTTCTTGTGGTTGGATGTTTCTTCCTGCAGGTCAGCAAACGGAGATACCGTAGATGGCTGAATGACAGGCTCCTGAGGGAGCTCGCACCGCCTTTGGAAGCATCAGAGATTGCTAGTCTCTTCGCTCCACCTCCATGGGGTAATAACTAGCTCTACTTGATCACAATAAAATACTAGGATTTGTCCCTTCGGTGCAGCATTTTCGGAAAGGGAAGGAGGGAGACGTCTTACATGCTGGAGGACAGGGAGGACTCGCATCGGATGGGATGCGATACCTGTCCTTACTCCAGTTCGTAATTGATGACCAAAACAAAATATGTTAAGAACAAGGGCTTTAAGTTCAATGAAGTCATGCATGGACAGGAGTTTCTGGAGTTGTGGCGAAGATTGTCAAAGATGCCTTCGATAGTCGATCAGCTTATTTCGTGTGCAACAAATTACGAGGAGAACTAGGACTGTCACTCTGACGGCAAACAATGTGAGGGCCTTGGGTACATGCTGACCAGGAGATTCGTTAAAATATCCATACACTGAAATTTTAAGGTTTCGGATTGTTTGATAAATACTAATATTTCTATATAATTTTCTAAGATCGAAGAAATGGTGTTGTTGCTGTGTGATTTACAGGCGAAAAGTCAGCAATTAGTCCTCTAGAACGAGTGACTGGTGCAGGTCCTTCTCCAATGCAAGACGCCGCCGGATGGGAACCGTTTCGACATATCGATATGGACTTGCAGGTACTTCGCGCAGCAGTCTCTTCTTATCTTGAATGACCGCCGCCACTCGTCGTTGCTTTTTAGATGGCCTGTACTTTGAGTCGGGTTGTACTGCTCAAATCGTTTAGGTTCAGATCTGAAGTCTCCTGGGGACCTATGTTCGCAGGCCAAGTTGTTGAGGGCAGATCGGCCGAGAAGTATGAACGGTAGCAATGGCACCGTAAAGCAGACATCAGCAATGGAAGCTTGGCGTCAAGTAGAACGTACAGCGCGAGATGCTTTGCGGAGGAACTCCCAGTCGCCTCTTCTGGAACTCTATGAGGTTCGTGTTGCCCCACGAGGTTTACATGTACTTCGTGGCACTTTAGCCTCTTGGTGAGAAGCTGCAACAAATTATTCATTTGAGACTTCAATAATTGCTCGCTGACGGATCTGCAGGAGAAGCTGCGAGCTTACCTTTCCGAGATTGAAGAGGGAGACAATGGCAAGGAGCTTGTGCTAGAAGTTGAAGCTCCTTTTCATCGTCTTCTATTGCACGGATTGAGTCAGGTTTGGTTACGGCCCACGCACCTTTGCTTTATTAGGGTACATTCATGTCTTCTGTGCTAAGACTCATCTGGCTGTGGTTGCATTGGAACTCGAAAACTTTTAAGTCTCAAGTTAAAGTGTGCCCTCGCATCTGTGTGTGCAGTATTATGGATTGACATCCCGAACCGTGACGGTATCAGAGGCGAAGAAGGTCGCTGGTGTCGAGGCATGTTCAGACCCGATAGTTATACACATAAAGAAGCGAGAGTCCTCGAAACCCAAAGCGTTGCTCCCTGGGTCAGTTGGCCGTCCGAATTTGACGCAATTTCTGCGGGAAGTGCAACATCGACCCCAGGTTGCAGTAGTTTGTTGAGCCTGTCGCGATTGGATTAGATCGTTAACTGACCAGTCAACTTATCAGACGAAACCTTGTACAAGTTGTAGAATATTAGCCATCATCATTGAGCCGTCCCAGTGGCTCGAACTGGAAGAAAATAGTGAAGTCGGGCGGTCATTCTGCTGACTAGCATGATAAATGACCTTCCAGACGCATGGATTGTGCGTTCCAATCAGATTGTCAACGCATATCCAAAACGTTCTATGAGCGATGGACCATTCCGTTTCTACTGCAGATGCAGTTAAATGAATCAAGTAGATTGAGTGCACACTTGTAGTATATCTTGTATAGGAGGTTGGAGAGTTTTTTTTAATCAATACTCTCGAGCCTCTCACAGTTACGATGCCAGTGGTGTAGCTTTGTACTTGGAAAGTGAACTCACGATGCACGAAAGGTACAACTCGTCGATCGATCATTTGATTCAAATGGACAAAGTTGTCCGAACAGCACATTTGTGAATGTCGTTTCGTACAAAACTGTCAAAAAGCTGGAAATGATCTGTAAGTGCCTCGCTGATATTCCTCTACTGGCCTTTGCCCGTACCATTCTAACAAGAACGCCACGCAGAGTAGGACGTATAGAATATTCTTCCAAGTATTGCTTCTATGAGGATTTCTTTGAGACTGTTTCGTCTCAGTTCGTATGAAACCTTCCTGTACGTGCATCACGAATTAGTTCATGCTGTCTGAGATTCAATGTCTGAAAGTTTGGCATGAGATGTCTAAACTCTGTTTCCTTCGGAGATGGAAACTCGTGCTACGTTTTGCCGTGGCCTTCAAAAGCGAGAGTTTGTGAGCAGCATCTGTTTGCCATCAGTGGGAAGATCGATGAGGTTGTATCGCTGGAGTCCCGTCTTATCCTCTTTGGACTGCTTAGGTTCTGCCTTTGGAATCGCCAAGCTGCCGTCTGATCTCGTGTCTGTCATACTTCCGGATTCTCCCCGTCCATGGCTACTATTTATCCGGTATTCGAGTTAAGGTCTCTTCAACGCGCTGTGAAAGTAGACCAACAGCGATCCTCAGAGACGAGCTTTGCAGATTGCAAGCGGTTCCAACATCTCACGAAATGTGCGGAGAGTGCAATCTTTCTAAGGGTTACTCATTCTTTCGGTGGCCATTTTATACTACGCACCTTTTGAGATGACGAGCCGGCTCGTGCTCTGAAATGAAGCCTCCCTCGAACAAGAAAGGGTAAATTTTCTTGTACCTGTGAAGATTCTTCAGGAGGATTATTCGTCATTCAGCAGCAAGACAAGTATTCCATGGATCTTACAGGCGCGAATGCAAGGGTCACATACAATTCAGTACAAGCAACAGCTGGTAGCATGGAGTGCCGAGTGGGCGTCTTTTGGGATGCGGCTGGGTCTGGACTTCGACAGCGATAGTGTCAATTCATGAATTCTACACCATCTCGAATTTGGCCTCGAGACTTGGCGAATCAGTGAAAACCACGGAACCTCAAATCAGAAACTCCTTACCACACTTCAGCACAAGCACCGCCTCTGCGGTTCATCTGGTCCGCAACTTGCTCCCAGTTTATTTCAGTCCGCCGCTGTCAGACACACCGTGGACTGTCAAGCACAGATTCTCGACGGACGAGTTGTCACTGCAAGCCAAGAAAAGTTCTCTCGTCCTGGACGTACATTGTATCTTCACAAGCTCCTAGTTCCGTGCCTGGACCTAGCATGTTCTGGCTGCCTGGTGAGTGCATCGAATCTCATTCCATGTAAAACCCAGTGAGAGGTTACCCAGCGACTACGACCCACTTCATCATGCTCGGGCAGCACTCGTCTGGATTCCAGATTCAGAAGAACGTAAGATTGAAGTTGGTCTCTCTCCTCTTGTGTCCACGGTCCTGGATGTTTGCAGAGGCCACGATCACAGTCTGCAAGGGTTGAGGGTTTTAGGAATTCAACCCGCAGTGCCATGCCAAAGTGCACAAGCCTCATTTTTCTCGACAGCAAAGCACGGATGGAGGTGGAGGTGGGGCGGAGGATGTGTACCCGTTTTCACCGGAGCCTGCCTCAGGCTTCGCCACTTGACTTTGCAGACTTGCGCAGGTCGGTCGAGCTTGCTTCCAATCGTCTTCCAGTCCGGACCGTGTTCCAGAAACAGCCTTCACCATCGTCATCATCATCATCATGCATCACATGAACAGAACAAAACAGCTGTCGGACACCACTGACTGACTGACTGCCTGCCTGACTGCATTTGCTCTCTTCATTCTCATTCATTCAGCTGTGCCTCGACATGGTAGTCCCACTGTGAAGAAATGTGTCCTCTCTCTCTCTCTCTCTCTCTCTCTCTCTAAATCTATCCACATCGATGCAGTAGAGTGCTGCAGAGCTCTTGGATAAATCGTGCATGACGAAAAAACAAGTGCACAAAACCTCAAGCAGCGTGCTGCTGATGTTTAGAGGAAATGAAGAACGATGGCAGGCATGATTTTAAGTGGAGGTGATTACGTCCTTAACTGCTGTAACTCCACCTCGAGCCATTTGCCCCGTTTCCCACCTTCCAAGAGACGACGAGCCCTTGAGTTGATTTGTTTAACCGGACGATGAGGTAGACAATTTGCTACACATCCACAGGGGGACACACGAGTCAATCAAGCGTCAGATGAATCGATGCATGAAACAAACAAACGCACGAACGAACTATCACTAATAGAGTCACAAGTGCTCGGAAGCTCGGTGTGAGCAGATAGATGGTCAATCCGTGCTTCAGATGGATGGAGCTGCTGCCCAAATGTGCACAATGAATGAATGATTGATTGATTGATCCCCACGGAGAGAGAAGCTTGGAAATGGATGCTGCTGCTACTGCTGCTGCAGCATCACTGACCGATGCTCAACCAGGCGCCCCGTGCCTCTTTGTAGCAACTGGTATTAAGAAGCATCTCCAGGCCTTTGACTTTATCCCAGCCTCGCTCCTGACACAGATCGGGCACGGATCAATCAATCGATGCTCGATGGGTGAGGACACGAGAATGGACATCAGAGATCCACAGACCCATTCGGCCACGATCGGCATTCGCCACGAAATAATGATCTGATCGAAGGCAAGACACCGAAGGAAAAGAATCCATGGATCTGAGAGGAGCGAACGAAGATGGAGCAGGAGGAGAGGCGATGGGTACCTCGATGTAGCCATCGACGGCCGTCTTGATCGCCTCGTCTTCCTGTGCGGTGAATTTGCCGAAATGCAAGTCGGGCGTGTTGTGATCGTAGCTCCAGCTCCGTTTCCTCGTTTCCTCGTCCTCGGGAGCCACAATTTCTCCTTCCGGCAGCAGGAATCTCACCCGCTTCTTCTTCTTGACCTTCTTCGGTGCGCTGGGATTGCAAATCTGCAGCGGAGACAAATCGCCGCCATGGAATTCGCTGGCACACTCCCTCTCGTCGCCGCTCCTCTGTCTCCTCTTGTTGCCCTTGAGCTTCTTCCTCGACGTGAGAAATCGGACCTCCTGAGCTCGGGCACCATTCTCCTCCGCCTCCTCCAGCAGCAACTCGGTGTCAGCATCCGCAGCATCTTCCCTCACGTGGATCAGATCTCTGCGACCGAGTGGAACGATCTGTCCAGCTTGAGGCTCGACATCCAGGCCTCCAATTCTCTTGAGCTTCTTGCGCTCCTTCTTCGAGAGGGTTCTGGACCCCGACGAGTCCAAGCGCGCAGCAGCAGCATGCGGAGGACTTCTGGAAGGAGAAGCGGCCTCGAGCTCCGCGGAGATGGTGTCGGCCTGACCACCACCATCATCCTCCTCATCATACTCGTGCTTTCGCCGTTTCCTCAGCTTTCTGGGCATCTTGCAGGGACTCGAGAAATGATCGAATGCATGGTCGTCTAGATCTATGAGTTCTATACCACCAGATGCAACGATTTCGTTCTTGGCTCGATGGTCACTTGCCTCGGCCGTCTTGGGCTTCGTGGCCATGGAACTGAAAGTGCCACCACCAGCCACAGCGAGAACCTTCCCCTCGTCGACGATCTCCGATCCTCGCCCACCATCATCTCGGCATTTCCTCTCGGATTTCTTCGATTGCGATGCGCGAGATGAGTCTCGAGGCGCCTTGGACATTCCACCACCGTCAAAATTGCAGCCGATTGCAGCTGCGGATGGGACGCTGCTGTGTTTCATGGCACTTCTCGAACGACAAGCCTCCTTCTCAGGCGTCCTCGAGCTCAATGGGACAGGCGATTCCAAGACCTGGACCTCGTCGTCCAGGTCGATGATGGACGCCTCGACACCCGTGGCAGGGCGATGCTTCTTGGGCTTCTTGGGCTTCGCAGGGCTGCATGTCTGAGAACGAGGAACGAGAGTCCCATCAGCAGCTTCAGAAGAGATGCATCGCCGAGCATCTTCTCCAAATTGGACGAGGCCAGCAGCAATGGAGCTCTTCGATTGCTTCCTCTTGGGAGTTTTCGAAGACTCCACTGCAGACGGTGCATAATCAAGGGTCCTTGAAAGTACACCGAGATCAGGAGCAGCAGCAGCAGCTGCATTGAAGTCCTTAATTCCATCAGCCTGATGAGGACTGAGGGGCGAGGGTTTCTTCTTGAGCTTCTTGAGCTTTTTGACCTTCACGAGGCTTGAAGTATCGATCACATCCTGCATGATCTCATCATCATCATCATCATCATTATCGTCAGCCGATGCAGCAGCAGCAGCAGCAGATGATTGACAGTCTGTGTTTCGATCATGGGCTTGCTCTCGTTTGCAACTAGATGAGCCACTCTTCTTGGGCATCTTAGCTTTCAATGAGTCAAGTGGCTTTTCAGAAGGCAGCCATGAACGAGCCTCGACATCCTGATCGTCGCTGAGCTCAGTGACCTGAGCGTCAGCTAAAGCACTCCTTTCACCATAGCCGGAAGTGTGATTCTTCTTGGATTTCTTGGCCTCGGTGAAGGATGACACTCTTGCTTCAAATCGGGAGACAATCTCTCCCACAACTCCATCCGTCGCGTGAGCACTGGCTCCACGATCGTCACGACACTGCTGCTGCTTGCACCGTTTGGTATCCATGGCACAGGTCAGGTCTCGAGATTCCGGATCTCCGAGCCTCCCATTATCTGCCGGAGTGCGAGTGTCCTCTCCTCCTCCTCCTCCATCACCACCTGGAGAATCGTGGTGCTTTTTTCTCGATCTCTTGCTCTTCATGGGCTCAGATGATTCGGCACCACTCCGCGAGTGATTAGCCACAAGAGCGTCGTCGACATTGCTGGCAATTCTGCCACCTGCTGCTGCTGGAGTCTGAATCGAAAGATCGTGATCAGACTGCCGATTCTTCTTGGACTTCCTGAGCTTTCTGGATTCCAAAGGGTTCGTCTCCGACGGCTTCGAGAGGGTGCAAGCCATAATCTCCTCCTGCTTTGGATCAGCTGCAGCTGCAGCCTTGATCTCCTTCTGAGAGTCCATCCCGATGACGCTGTCCAAGCTATGGAGCTCGCCGGTAGCCAGATCCTTGTACCATATACTTCTTTCCACGAACTCCACAATCTTGAACCCACCAGCAGGAGGAAAAGGGGGAGCACGACGAGCATGTTCTAAATTTCGTTTGTCAATGAACGAGCCTACATTTGGCTCGGTCTCGTCTCCGCTGCTCTTGAGCTGACTTGTGCTCCCTGTCCTCTTAAATGTACAGCGGCACTCCATATCGAAATCTCAGTATATTCTCTGTTGAAAACCAGCTGCAACTCAAATCCTGTCACAGTGTACGGGCTCACCAGGATCCTTGTCGATGATTCGTAAGTTCCATAATCTGTAGACGATATCCTGGGAACCAACTGAGCATCTATAGAATTGACAATGTTGGGTATGGTCGGCCGCCACTTCGAGACTGCTGCTGAGGAATCACCGACAGACGAGAACTGACAGCTCTCCCGATCTCGAGGGCTTCAAATCAGACTCCGAAGCGAGGGACATAGTCGCCGCTGACAGTGTCCACATTATTCCCAGCTTGATTCCGTCCTTCAGTTCCAATGGAACTGACTGAAATCTTGCACCTTTGAACGGACGTGCGCGTGGTCACCGACAGGGTTCAGATACCGTATGAAGATCTGAAGACGGTGGACAGATGACAGAGCTCGAGATTTGAGACAAATGAGATTCTGAAGCTCCTTCTCATGTCGAGTGAACCGCAATCTGAGAGGTGGACATCGATGAGAGTTCTTAAGGTCGAAGAGAGAGAGAGAGAGAGAGAGAGAGAGAGAGAGCAATCAATCGTGATCGTGCTGTGATTCGATTGAAGAATCAGATTTCCAGCAATGAAGAAGAGAATGAAGGTACGCAGTAATTGCGCATTCCATCCATCTTCTGTCGTACGACAAAGATATCCCTCGGTTCCCTCCCTCCCTCCCACCCAGACCGATCGATCGACCGACCGATCCATCGACAACGTCGGGCATTCCTGTTGTATGTGATCTATTTTCCGCTCCCAAAGAACCAACGTGACTCGTCCCTTGTGAATCCGGATGCAATTCCTTCTCCTTCCTGATGATTCCACATCCCATGCACGTCGAAACTTGACTACGAGCACGGACTTGCAATTCATCATCGGGACGAGCCTCGTATGAGCCCACGCGCCTGCGCATACTGCATTAGCATGGCGCAGTATCGTCTTGCAGTAGTGAGATCCGGGACCACAGCCATGGTCCATTACGTTGCAGTAGTGGTACATTTATGATCCTAATCACTGGAGCTCGAGTCGAGTCTGGTCTGGTCTGCCAGACATTCCGCACCATGCTGAGCCTGGACAGAATCCATGGGTGACTTTCCTGAGGCTGAGACTGTACGGATTGTACTTAATCTCGAGCATCTTACTCCGGACACAATGAAGGCCTTTATCCAGTCGCTGTGGGTGCTGTGAGTGACACGAGCAATTGACAAATTGCAGCGAGTTCATTGCAAACTCATTGTTCCCAGCTCGGGAAGAAGTAGTGCTCATAATGCTGTCGATAATGTTCTCCAGAGCCCCGCTCTGCTGTCCACATAGTTTACAGCAGATTTCTTCATTGGTCGTCGACTCCAGAGATAGCCAAAGCTTTCAATGTACCTTCGTAAAAGTGGGATCGGTCGGCTGAAGGGACAACGATGGGATGTCTGCGTTTCGAGATCATCATTTCATATCTTAAGAGTGGGTAATTCTTCGATCAGCTCATCTGTAATACCAGTCCATGTTCGGATGTGAGGTCAGGAGAATAGTAACCGAGTTGCGTTTGGATAGTGGACCAGAGTTCATTAGCTTCAATTTTTGTTGCAAGCTCGTGGTTCGACCATAACTGGGCTGGAAGACAACATTGCAATAGGACGTGAGGAAGATGGTGCAAGTATCGGCAAGTGCCTTTCTTCCTGAAGGATGACGGTACAGGCGAACGATGTCTCTCTGGTACATCTTCTTTTAGTTCCATGACACGGAATTGCACTCTGGGGATTTGCTCTTATTGCTGGTTGAGGTTGAGGTATACGGGAGTGATGCAACAAATGATTCATTCCTTCGTGCAGTGGTCTGTCCTTCATTCACCCTGTCCCTCAACTATCTCCTAAAGTACAATCGAGGCAAGAAGTCATCCACATTGCGAGCTTGCAGTACAGGGTTCTAAACCTTTCGTTTGGATCCCCCCCACAAATGAAGCCGCTCGAATCTGTCCTGGACTGCAAACCAGTTGAACCTCGTCACGTTCAGGTCCTCATACTGGTGGTCCAACCATAACTTCCATAAAATCTCAGCTGGAGGAGCAAGTGGTGGTCCAAGCGGTTGGAATCAGTGCGTTGAGGCTTGTCAGTCAGTTATGATGAGACGAGCTCATGGACGAGCATTAACCAGAGTTCTAGTGAATCGACGAGACACCATGCTTTCCAATTGACCCGTGAGATTGCCGACGGAACATGGAATCGGTGCGGTCGAATTCTCCAAGGGAAGGAGTCAGTGAGCGTGGCGAGTGAGTTCTTAGAGGTTTAATTGATCTCTCTTTCTGGGCAATTCCTAGGGCGCCATCGTACGCCCTCGAGATTTCTCTCTTCAAACTGCAGCGATCTTCTCGCTGTGTGCTGATTATGATGGGCTCCTGCGAATCTGGAAACTTCCCAGACAGTCTCCGTCTCATCTGTCCGTACTTCAATGGGTCCTTGTGCGATCTGAAACCACCTCCGAAGAGATGGATGGTCTAATTTTCGGTCTCCACTGAGCAAGTATTCAAAGTGCGAGTCTCATATTGTCCCTCAAAGAAATCAGTGGATGAGCTTCAAATTTGCGGTGACATGACTCATCACAGCACGAAAACTACGATTGAAATCCTCCGTCCATGAGTTCATGAGAGAGAGAGAGAGAGAGAGAGAGAGAGGATACATAAATAAAAGAGAGAGTGATACGATGGATTCACGAGCCCAAAGCTTGCATCAGAGATCAGCTTTATGCTAATTACATCAGTTCACTCCCTCACGCATGAACTCTGAGCTTGCAGCTCCCTTCATTTGGTAATAGTGTTCTAGGTTGTTTTTTCTGATACTTAGGGAGGCAGCAGGCTAGGCAAAGCGGGCAGTGCTTCTCGCAACCGACATAATTCCCACGTTGGTAACGTGGAGAAGGACCAATGCAGTTTACAGTCAGGGAAGGAGCTTGAGCATCTAAGACTTCGATCGTCCCGATGAAGAATATAATTCGACACAGCTCAAAGTCGTTCGAGTGGTGTGCTTAACCTTATCTGATCTTGAGCTTATCATGATTGAAATTCATCGAATATTTTGCAAAGGAACAAGTTCCTGGCGTGACATATTGGTAAACAGACAAATTGGTGCGCTTTTCTACACCTCCGGCATGTGACAAGACTTTGGAAATCGATACGACAGCAGCAGCTCTGAGTTCTGCTCGTTGTTCGCGGGGGGAAAGCTCATTCTTCAGGTTAGAAGTTGCTCGCACCGAGATTGTTTCCTCACCTCTCGCTGCTGGTCGGCGGCTGCATGCGGGCTACATGCAGCTAGGTTCTGAAATCCCAAACTCCAACAGGTTCCGAGATTCTGATTCCAAAGCCAACAACACCCTTCAGCACCAACCAACATCCTGTCTACAGTAGCCTGGGAATCATTCGCTCATTATTACGATCCACGGTTGCGGCACAAGGAAACCCATTCGAATGTGCATCTCCAAAGGAAGCATGCAGACATTGGAAAGCTATGTCGATTGACGGACGGCCTCCTTTGTCTACCTCGCTGGACAGACAAAGTGCAGTGTGATGTGAGCGCCATGATGGTCTCGATACTTATGCCCACAGAACTTTGTTCTTGTGCGAGTCTGGCGCTCATGCTTGCAGTCGGCCTCGGCCAGTCTCATGCAAGGTTCATGATGCAACCATGGATGATGGATAGATTGGTGAGCTTGGGTTTCACCGACCCCCAGAGCTCACTGTAAACTTGTAATAAGGTGATAGCACATAAAACACCATAAGCAACTACATCTTGGAATTTTGTAAAATTAAATGGGTGGTAAAAATGTTACAAATTCCTTGGACTATTATCTAGGAGAAATACTAGCCAAAATGAATTTCATCATCATCAAACACACCAAAATACATGGTTGCATTTCTGCACTGTGTTCTCTTCGCTACTTCTGAACTCGAAATGCGTTACTACAGAATGATCCCAAAGGAGTCGAGACTCTTTAATATATAGCTTATAGCAAGTGTATTATTATATAGCCTGGCAGGTGCATGAACTTCCCAAGTGGTGCTTGCCGCCATCAATCGTTATTTCTCTACAAAATTCTACAGATTGCACCTCCGTGTCTTCCACTCTCATTTGAAAATGCTTGAAAAGTTCTTGGACCTAGCTATTTTAAAATACCATTTCATATTGTTATTAAATGTTTTTCTTCACAACTAATTGCTGAATAGCAAAGTTTAACACTTTACTCCAAATTTGTACCCATATCCAGACCATAACCATCAGCATAGACCTATGCCCACCACCTATTCTATTCGTCTTGTGTCTGATCTACATAATTCGGCAATGTATTCTTTAGTTACTTCTCGATATAAACCTAGAGCTAGATGTATTCATCTCAGAAACCGGTGTATGGAATATTCACAAATATTCTCTGGTACCAGCATGGAAAGATTTGATGTGCGCAATCTTTGTGATGAGTTCAAAGCCAATGACAGATATCATGTTAATACATTATATTGACATGAGAAACATAATAAGGTCTAGGTCTCAAGATTGATGAGCATGGTTTAGTATCCATTTGGAAGCTATGTCAATCCATACCTACCTAGAAACAATGTACACCCTTACCCATCCAAAACCCAATGTATGGGCACCCAATGTTCGGCTGTGCTCTAAAGTAATATTTCGTGCTTAATTGCTCCTCCTAGACCCCCAGGGACGTCGATGGATCGATGAAAAGCTCTTCCTTTTAATATCATGGGGCCCTACCATTTCCATAGTTACAAATTCACCGTCCTCGACTTGCACCTCGTCAAACCTTTGCCCAACTTCTCTTTACACCCACAGCTGGCAGCTGTTGTGAAGAACATTCAGTGCGAGTGCAGTGCAAGTACAGGACTCGGAGAGATATGGCAACATCCATTCTGACCGACTGGATGGACATCGTTAAGTATCAGCTGGTCTCACTCAAGTCGGACGAGAAGTACGGTTTTAGTGTCTGATTATCTGTCAGTGAGTCATTTGGTATAGTTCGGTCTGCGAGGTCTTCCATCGAATCCAAGCCTCACGGGTCTTGAACGATTCTGC